AACTCGTGATGCCGAGTTCTGCTTTGCCCATAATGTTCCACGGCAATGCATTGAATTCCTTTAACTAAACCAGGGTGTGCACGTGTCACGGTGTGCTTAACCACTAAACAGTGCGCCGCTGCTGCTACCCGCCTCGCCACCCCAGGGAACGTCGCGGTTGCGCGCTGCGATCGGAGTGCCATCACGAGATAGAGAAACGTCCCCTGCGGAAACTCCCGCGTCGTGCCGGGGGGGGAACAGCCCCGGGGGAAGATGAACCCCCACACAGAGCTCCTTCTCAGTCACTTCAATCGACCGCGCCGCTCTCTCTCTCTCTGGCCAACGCTAGCCGGTGCTCTCGCTCGCACGCTGTGCAAGGAGGAGATGTTCTCTCGCTCGCATGCTGTGCAAGGAGGAGATGTTCTCTCGCTCGCACGCTGTGCAAGGAGGAGATGTTCTCTCGCTCGCACGCTGTGCAAGGAGGAGATGTCCTTCTTTGGTTCTTTCAGTAAAGTCACGTAGAATGAGAATAAAATAATAAATTGATAAAATTAAATAACACAATAATATTCTCACGACGTTTCGGCCACAACACAAGCGGCCTTCATCAGGTGAAGGGACGAGACTGTCTGGTAGGACAGCGCTGGAGTGTCTCGTCCCTTCACCTGATGAAGGCCGCTTGTGTTGTGGCCGAAACGTCGTGAGAATATTATTGTGTTATTTTATTTTATCAATTTATTATTTTATTATCATTCTACGTGACTTTACCGAAAGAACCAAAGAAGATGAATCCTTGCAGTCACGAAAGCTTTAAATCGAGGAGATGTCCTTCGCACGGCAGGTATCGCATGAGCCGCGGTCATTTTGGCGACTTGGACGCCTAAGGCAGTCAAAAATTGTGACGCTTCGGAATTTTTGGGGTAATTGGCGGTTTGAGACCGGGACTTGGACCCGGAGTCATCGACACGGCCGTGATGATGCCCCTGAGCCACTCTCAAACCTCATGCGTAATGGATACGGCAAGGCAGATTTTGAGTTGAGGGAACGTGATAAATTAAACAAGAAATGAATAGCCAATTAGATAATGGCAGGCATGAGACCATTCCTCTTGCAGCTAATTACCTACGAACACCTGAGTGCTGTGTTTAATCAGCTGTAATGCATTGTCTTTGTACACCTATCTTTACCTAAACCTAGGTTTACAGTGCAATTCAAAGACAAAGATCCCCCATGCAGCTTTTACCAGACTGTTGGGGCAAGAGCACATATACACAGACCGGCACGTCAAACGAGGGCGTGGGTGGTCAGCACCACGCCTGGCCGCCTTTGTCTCCCCAGTGCTGATATTTACACACCGCACCAGATACCAATTTAAGGCTGAGTCGACTTACGTGAGGCCCGTGACCGATTCCGATATTCGTCGCTGGTGTTGTTCGCGAGCGAGAATCGAACTGGGGTCGCCAGGTTTTGTAACGCAGCGCGCGAGCCGCGACCACTGCCGCTTCCCACAGCGACGCGATCCACACAACGATCCACCAATTAGCAGACAGACTGCTGGCTACCCACGATCAACAAGCCCGTTGTCAATACCCCCTCCAGGCCTGACAAAATAATGACTTTGTGGGACATCTGCAGCGGCCACCCCTTCGCTCATTGACACAGAGGCCGACGGTGTCGATACCTCTCACGGAGTGAGCCGGGGTTGTTTACAAAATTCCGAAATACCTGCGATGGTAATTTCGTAAAATTAGCACGTCAACACAAACAAGGTGGTTAGCATATGCATCATTTATGTAATCGCATTTATGTAATCGTATTAGCCTGTAAAATATCGATGATGTCAATTCCCCTTTGCGCTATTCTTTGGAGAACATTCATATTATTTTTAGTCCACTTATTAATAGTGTGTTCATTAACAAAGGTTTACTTTCCAGAGATCTGCAGCTAATCTAGAATATGTTCAAAGCAAAGCTCGTGTGGGTGACTCGAGGGAGGAGGGGGGAGAGGCGAGGGGTGAGGGGAGACTCAGGATGATAACCATGACGATGGCGCCGACTCGCTGGCTCGAGGCGGAGGAGGAGGAGTTGACATCACCAATATTTGTGAGCGCCACGGTGGCTAGGAGATGTTAACTCCCTCGCCTGGTATCCAGGAAGTCGTGGGTTCAATCCCGACCCCGACGCCTGCTGCTGTATATTTGGAGTTTGCGTGTCTCTCTCTCTCATCATCATCATTATCACGGTGGCTAGGAGATGTTAACTCCCTCGCCTGGTATCCAGGAAGTCGTGGGTTCAATCCCGACCCCGACGCCTGCTGCTGTATATTTGGAGTTTGCGTGTCTCTCTCTCATCATCATCATTATCACGGTGGCTAGGAGATGTTAACTCCCTCGCCTGGTATCCAGGAAGTCGTGGGTTCAATCTTAACCCCGACGCCTGCTGCTGTGTATTTGGAGTTTGCGTGTCTCTCTCTCTCATCATCATCATTATCACGGTGGCTAGGAGATGTTAACTCCCTCGCCTAGTATCCAGGAAGCCGTGGGTTCAATCCCGACCCCGACGCCTGCTGCTGTGTATTTGGAGTTTGCGTGTCTCTCTCTCCCCGTGGTCGCGAGGATTTGTGTCCGGTTTCCCCCTCCACATTGAGAATCAACGTCACGCGTTTCGAGCATTTGGCTGCTACACATTTCCACACGACGATAAGCCACTTCGTTGAGCTATCATCTGTGGCCAGGTTACTTCTGAAAAAGAGCGACATAGCTCAGTGGGCCTTACCTAGTAAAATTAAAAGTTGTCAGCCAAAGTCAGAATCAGAATTGGACTGGAGGAGGAATCCGATGATCCATGAAGCTCTTTTTAGTCGCAGATGTCCAGTATGGGCACGGGGTGAGCAAAGTTACAACAGCGAACAATGCAACACAAAACGGCAGGAGTTATCAAATGAAAGTCGAAAAGGTAAGCGGATCACTAAATGTAAGTACATGCTTAAAGTGTAGAAGACGGCCCAGGGATGGCATGCGCGTGAGAGATGGAGCGACCGTGTGCACGAGGGCGGTCGGCTGCTGCGATCGCGAGACCGTGACGGATGCGTGTCGGCCTCGTGGAGGTCCTCATCCAGCAGTGGATAGATCGCGGTGGCGAGATGTTAAATGTCTCGCCTGGTATACAGCAGGAGCTAGGTTCGATCACGACCCTGACGATGCCTGTACATGAGGGTGCTTCAGCGAAATGTTAACACTTACATGGGACTATCGTTTTTAACGGAAAAAAGAACTGATAATACACTGTAACGTGATAACAAATGTGACGTTGATAGCTTCAAAAAGTCAAAGAGTCTCCACGTGTTCGCCATCGTTGTCAACACGTGGCCTGGATGGAATCTTCTCCAGGTGATCTCCAGATCCCGGAGGCACTTTTCTTGTGGTGGTGTTGTGGCAAATTCTCAGAGTTGTTAACATTTTTTTCAAAAGCACCCTCTATACTTGGAGTGTCCGTGTCTCTCTTCCCGTGTGGTTCGCATAGATGGCTTCTCCGGGTCCTCCCCTCCAGATTTCGAGTCAACGTGAATTTCGAGTATTCGCTATGAATTTCCACTCGACGATCAGCCGCTTCGACGCGCTATCATTTGTGGGCAGGTCGCTTCTTGAGAAAGAGCTGCATAGCTCGGAGGGCCCTTACCTGGTAAAACAAAATGAGAAGTTTTAGTTTGAACAATGGCCAAGTCGGAGGCATGAATGTGTGCAGCAGGGGACGGGAGCAATGCGTGGCGTTACCATCTCCCAGTGGCTGGAGGTGGCTCAGAGGTTCGGGGATGTCGAGCGCGGTGCTGGTGAAGCCCTGGGCTGGAACCCAGTCGTGATGACCACCTGGTTCGAGCTGTTGCTCCGGAGACCGGGACACAGGCGACCGACGTTCGCTCGCCGGATTGGCGGTGGCGTCAGTCGCAACTTCTCACCCAACGGAGTTGGGGTCGCCAACTTCCACGCCGCTCCTCCTGACACAGTTGCTTTGTGGCTCGACCGCCTACTCCACGGAACATCATCGCCGTTGCGCCTCCATCAACGCCAGCTGTACTCGGGAGGAGGACGAAGACACCAGCTCCTCAAGTGTCGCACGTGTGATGGTCTCAGCCCCCCTCCCCCCCACCCCTGTCACCAATGACCACGAAAAAAAAAACTCCCCAAAAAAAGATATCGATTTATAACAAAGCTGTCACGTAACTTGGCAAAGCCCGGCTCTGAGAGATGACATTCACAAGCGCATCAGACGACTGAAGCGTGGGAAACTACAACTTGACGGGACGGCAGTGTCGGGTCAGAGAGGAGCTCTCGAAGCGAGTAGCGAAGTAGCTTCTCATCCTCCAGGGCTGCTCCCCTGACGCGAGATGGGGGGGCGGGGGGGAGAGAGTTCCACGCTGAGAAGTCCCCTCCACCTCGTGACGCGAATACCGTTACGGCACAAAAGTGGCGACATTAAAAAAAAGGTGCAGCCCCTGCAATTTCCCTGCTCGCGGCCACTGCTGGCGGAAGGGCATCCAACAGAGGGAGCACTGGAGGGGCCACTGCCAAGCGGTGTTTGGCCTACTCTTCACGCTGGCCGAGTGCCTTGGCAGAGGTGTGAGTACCCACACTTCTCCCCACCACACTTGACATACTGTGGTTGTCAAGTGTGGGGGCGGGGTAGCGGTTTAAGAAACCTGCGCGGTTTTTTCGACTGCCACACTGGGAGATGGACTCGCACTGACGACCTCTGGACTGCGACTCCTGGATCGCAAGTTCAGCGTGCTGATATATTGAGAGCAATTGGAGGAAGTCCATTAGTGGCGACATTGGGAAGCCACCGAAGCTATGCACTTATACAAATACAAATAGAAAACTAATTTCTTTAGAACTGCTTTTTGAGTTTAGTTTGATGTCCACGTACGGTGCGAAAGAAGTTAAACGTAAATATACGTACTACGACCGCATCCCACTGGAATATACAAAGCGCTTACATTGTTATTACATATTTTTTTTAATACGTTCAAGAGCTAAATGCCAATGTTGATATCTCATGGCCACGACTAGAGGGCTTCGGGAGAGAGTTCGTCTTGATGTTGTAGGCGTGCACACTCGAGTGTGAGTTCGCCTCGGTGTTGTAGGCGTGCACACTCGAGTGAGAGTTCGTCTTGATGTTGTAGGCGTGCACACTCGAGTGAGAGTTTGTCTCGGTGTTGTAGGCGTGCACACTCGAGTGAGAGTTTGTCTCAGTGTTGTAGGCGTGCACACTCGAGTGAGAGTTCGTCTTGATGTTGTAGGCGTGCACACTCGAGTGTGAGTTTGTCTCGGTGTTGTAGGCGTGCACACTCGAGTGTGAGTTTGTCTCGGTGTTGTAGGCGTGCACACTCGAGTGAGAGTTCGTCTTAGTGTTGTAGGCGTGCACACTCGAGTGAGAGTTTGTCTCAGTGTTGTAGGCGTGCACACTCGAGTGTGAGTTCGTCTCAGTGTTGTAGGCGTGCACACTCGAGTGAGAGTTTGTCTCAGTGTTGTAGGCGTGCACACTCGAGTGAGAGTTCGTCTTGATGTTGTAGGCGTGCACACTCGAGTGTGAGTTTGTCTCGGTGTTGTAGGCGTGCACACTCGAGTGTGAGTTTGTCTCGGTGTTGTAGGCGTGCACACTCGAGTGTGAGTTCGTCTTAGTGTTGTAGGCGTGCACACTCGAGTGAGAGTTTGTCTCAGTGTTGTAGGCGTGCACACTCGAGTGTGAGTTCGTCTCAGTGTTGTAGGCGTGCACACTCGAGTGAGAGTTTGTCTCAGTGTTGTAGGCGTGCACACTCGAGTGAGAGTTCGTCTTAGTGTTGTAGGCGTGCACACTCGAGTGTGAGTTCGTCTTGATGTTGTAGGCGTGCACACTCGAGTGAGAGTTCGTCTTGATGTTGTAGGCGTGCACACTCGAGTGTGAGTTTGTCTCAGTGTTGTAGGCGTGCACACTCGAGTGAGAGTTTGTCTTAGTGTTGTAGGCGTGCACACTCGAGTGAGAGTTCGCCTCGGTGTTGTAGGCGTGCACACTCGAGTGAGAGTTCGTCTCGGTGTTGTAGGCGTGCACACTCGAGTGTGAGTTCGTCTCGGTGTTGTAGGCGTGCACACTCGAGTGAGAGTTCGTCTTGATGTTGTAGGCGTGCACACTCGAGTGAGAGTTCGTCTCGGTGTTGTAGGCGTGCACACTCGAGTGTGAGTTCGTCTCGGTGTTGTAGGCGTGCACACTCGAGTGAGAGTTCGCCTCGGTGTTGTAGGCGTGCACACTCGAGTGTGAGTTCGTCTCGGTGTTGTAGGCGTGCACACTCGAGTGTGAGTTTGTCTCGGTGTTGTAGGCGTGCACACTCGAGTGCGGACCACCGCGGTTTACTGTTTGGCCCGAAGGGCTGAAAACAACGTGACAATCCGCATTTAGTGAATGTGCCCCTTCCTCTTGTCGCAGGAGCGCTCGTTACGGGACTAGCGTCACCTCGTGACGTCGCTGGTACCACCACCCAGCCGGGCGTGAGCATCACCTGCAGGGGAGTAATTGCCATCGGAAATTAGAACGGTGAACATCACGTTGATGGGGGCTTAACAATGCATTTTACTTGTCAAATTAAGAATCTTCGTGACGTTTATGAAGAATGTTGGCTACTAAGAGGGAGTGATTTAGGGAGCTGTCCCGGCGAGTTTAGACTTTGATAATAATGCGAGCGTGCGGTGCAGTAGATGTTTCGCATTAGGCTCTCTGCCCAATGAGCCTGCTTGTGTTCGTGGCAATTGAGTCCAATTAGCCATACAGACAGCAACATCAATCAGCTCAATTTGCGCCGTTCACCTTAGCATTCATTGTATAACGCAGGGCCATAATTTGAATCCGTCAACACGGACTGGGTTCGTAGAGACTGATCATTTTTTTGCAGTAATCACAGTGCGAAATTACGAATGGCGCCTGTCCCATCCCAAATCTAATTTCTCCACCTCCCAACGTTAATGCCCATTCTCGCAAGGCTCACACTTGAACGTGTAATGCCGCTGGCTCGATAATAATGCCTCCTGTGTCCTAGGATTGGAATGCGCCCCTTTGTGGAATGCGTGTCGGCAATTTCCGACGTTTGCGTGAAATTGTGAATTCCTAGGACATCAAATGACAGGTTTTCAAGTGCCTGGATGACGTAGAATGCTCATGGCTGTGTCGGAGACACTGGGCCAGCTACATGTCAAGCTTTTTAAATGGAATCCCCTTTAAATTAATAAAGAACACATTAAATGTTTGCTTGGTGAATATCAATAAAATAGCACTTCTTCATGGCGAAGGATTACGGGAGTGGCAATTCAATTGTATCACTCTTTACTTGAGCACGAATGAGTGTTGTCTAAGAGTTGGGGTGAGAGTGTCCTCTTGAAGTGAGTCGGAAGTAGTTTTGTGGCATCATCTTCCGCGGGCCGTTCTCTGGCACAACGCGAGGCTCTGCTGCCAGATTAAGTTCCTCAGGGTTACGTTCGCTCACCCCTTCACAAGACTTGTATGGACGTATATTGAACTTATTTCGCACCGTATGTAGCCAACCGTGCTAACCGGAGGTGTGGGGGGAATGACAACAAACTAAACACAAAAAAATCAGTTCTAAAAAAATTAGTTTTCAACGTATTTTTAAAAGTGCATTGCTCCAGTGGCTTCCTAATATCGCCACTGTTGTGGTACAAGTCACGTTAATGCGAAGCACCTCAGAGATGTCAGTCTGGCTCTGTGAACCTCTAGCATTAACGATGATCCCTGATCATCAGAGGTGTCAGTATGGCTCTGTGAACCTCTAGCGTTAACGATGATCCCTGATCATCAGAGGTGTCAGTATGGCTCTGTGAACCTCTAGCGTTAACGATGATCCCTGATCATCAGAGGTGTCAGTATGGCTCTGTGAACCTCTAGCGTTAACGATGATCCCTGATCATCAGAGGTGTCAGTCTGGCTCTGTGAACCTCTAGCATTAACGATGATCCCTGATCATCAGAGGTGTCAGTCTGGCTCTGTGAACCTCTAGCATAAACGATGATCCCTGATCATCAGAGGTGTCAGTCTGGCTCTGTGAACCTCTAGCATTAACGATGATCCTTGATCATCAGAGGTGTCAGTCTGGCTCTGTGAACCTCTAACATTAACGATGATCCCTGATCATCAGAGGTGTCAGTCTGGCTCTGTGAACCTCTAGCATTAACGATGATCCCTGATCATCAGAGGTGTCAGTCTGGCTCTGTGAACCTCTAGCATTAACGATGATCCCTGATCATCAGAGGTGTCAGTCTGGCTCTGTGAACCTCTAGCATTAACGATGATCCCTGATCATCAGAGGTGGCTTAGTCCGGCTCTCCGAGCCTCTCATACTAACACCAACCCATAAAGGTGGCAGAGTCTTCTTTTTCTAATTTATTATCATCACAATTGTAATTGCTTGTCTTACACGTGTACATGTGTACTCCGTGGTAACAGCGGTGCCAAGATTGACCTGTATGGTGGAGGCTCGTGAAGGACGCTTCTGGGCAGTTTAAAGCAGATCGCCCTCCAGCAACAACGGAGGGCAGAGGAGCGACGCTCACAGCAACGAGCGGAGCGCCGGGCGATTAAAACACGGCAAGTTGGCACAGTAGGTGGCACACAGGTGGTGCATCGGCCACTCATCTCAGTCAGTCGACCCATGGCACCTGGGCCTGTCCCGTGACCTCCTGCCAGCGGGCGTTCGGCACTTCACGTGGCCTTCAAGTGCACTTATCCTGGCACAAGCGCCGAGGTGACGTCACCGCCACTTAGTGGCGAATGGCGATTGTTGTTTGCTCCATAAGCTCATGCCCCTGCACCTTTACCATCTTTATCCAATGGAGACAACAGCCGACCCCACGTGGTCATGGAACCTTTGGCTTAAAAGAAGAAGTAAAGAGCCGAGACTGGCCGCTGCCATGGGAAGCCTGGTACACGGGACCACGTGGGTTCGATCCCGACCCTGACGATGCCTGCGGCTGTATATTTGGAGTTTTGCGGTGTTTCTTTCTCTCTCCCCGTGGTCGCGTGATTTTTTTCTACGCGTCCTCCAGTTTCCACCCCCCTCCACATTTTGAATCGACATGCGGTTTGGAGTATTTAGCAGCGATACACGTCCACGTGATAAGCCGCTTCGTTGAGCTATTATTTGTGACAGCCAGGTCGTTCCTGAAAGAGAGCTATACAGCTCATTGCACCTTACCTGGTAAACATGGAATGTCCACCACTGGCTCATAGCCGCCAAGAGAAATGAGCTCCGTCTACGCCCATTCGAGCAGAGAGGCTCTCTGACTTTGACCTGATAGGGGGGAATCCTTCCTTCCTTCTCCTCCCTCTCTCCTTCATCTCCCTCCCCCCATCTCTCCCTCCCCCTCTCTCTCTCTCTCCGCTTTCCCTCTGACGGACGCCGTGAATTTATGAAAGCGACGTCAGTGCCGCTAAAAAAAAATATATATATATAATCCAGCAGCCGAAAATGACGAATGTGTCGGGCTTGGAAATGAAATTCCCTCCCTCCTTATCATCACCACCTCATTACGGGACGCCCTTTTTTTCCGAAGCCCCAAGTCGCGGTGGCTCGCTGCTCGCTGCTGCTGCAATCCGTGGGGCTGTGCCTCGTGCGACACGCGACGCGTGACCTCCGACCCGCAGGGATCCGTTCCCGCAGAGAGAGAGCCGCACGGCTCCCCTGTGTCCGTGTGTGCGTGTCATGTCTCAGCCTCTCCCGCGTACGCGATGATCTACGGAATGCCCCCTCCCACGCGCCTTCGCTCAGCCCACGCTGCTGTTGCAGTAGCGGTGGGGGTGTAAACAGGGGGAGCGGTGGCGCAGTGGTTAGTGCACTGCCTTTGTTTGTGTGTGTGTTAGTTTGTTGTCCTTCCCCCGCACCTCCGACTAGCACGGTAGGCCGATTGGCTACGTACGGTGCGAAAGCAGTCCAACGTACATATATACCAACCCGGAGACGAGAGTTCGATTCCCGCTCATGGCCAACACCAGCGACGATTGTTTGAACCGCTCCTGGGCCTCCCCTAGGTTGACTCAGCCTCAAATGAGCACCTGGTGCGATGCGTAAACATCGCCCTTCTCGTGTGCCGTGCCGGCCTTCACAGGTGCTCGCTTACAGCACTTGCCCCCAAACATTATGTGAAGGCAATACGGGGGCTCTTTGTCTTTGCGGCGTAACGGTTCGCATGCCGGACTCGCGGACACAGAGTGTCGCCCGGTTGGATTCCATCTCCCGGCGTGGAAATTGAAAATGCAGCGATGCACCGTCTCTGACCACCCCGGCAGTCTGAGTGCGGACACCGCAGTTAGTTAACTGGAAGGCCGCGTGGTGAGGTAGGATTTGACTGCTCCCACCTCTTCAAATATATCTGGCCAGTGTAGAAGAGTAGGCCAAATACTCTCTAAACGGACTGTGTTGAGATCCCTCGGGAACTGTCGAGAGCTCCCTCTTGAACAGCGGTTTCTCACCCGGAATTCTCCCAGGGGGGTACGTGGGGTTATTTATAGATGTGTCAAATTATATCATACATGAGTCATTGCTGAATGATCACGTGTGAATCTGCAAATATAAAATAACGATACAATTTTAATTCATATCGTAACCTTGAAGGATATAAAAACGTATCAATCGTAAACAATGTGGTGTACGAGAGTAACCAGCGATCAAGAACAAATTGCGTAACTCGTGCAGAGCGTCCGGTGATTTTTGTTTGTATTCGTCTGCAGTTACCAGCAGCTAGTTTAGGTACCTCACAAAATTGACAAATGGTTAAAATATTGATGTTCATTATTCATACTTTAATTTCCCAGAAGCGTGTTGGAATAGGCAAAGGGAATTACTCGGTTGAAATTAAATTGAACACGTGGTTTAAACAGTCGCCAAAACGAGATCCACTGGTCTCATGTATGTTCTTCTGCCAGCGGTGGTGTGAGTGAGCAATTTCAGGCCTGCACCACTATCCACGCCTGACAGGGCTTTAGCAGTGCCGTCAAAAGATCATGGAGAGATCATTTGTCTGCTGGGTCATAAGGCAGCCCAGGGCACGGCAGTAGAGCAAGTAGGTTGTCATCCCATTTGTGTTCTTTATTACGTAACGTTATCTCCCCTCGAATGCACGTATTTGATCTGGTTTCCACCCACACAAGAAATATATTCAGTCATGCAATAGTAACCAAAAAAATATCATACTTCTGAAAAGGATGGCATAACCCTCAGCAGGGCGTTCCAATATAATTACCGATTATGAATACCACAACTTGAATTTTTTTTTAATTCCAGTTTTCATGATTTCCCTGCTCGCCTTGGCACAAATCAAACCCTTACAACCTCTCTTGCGCAATCCCCGAGTCACTTTCCTCATGGGGGGCGGGGGGGGGAGTAATCCAGAATGACATTTAAAGGGATTCTCTCTCAAAGCACCTGACGTCCAGTCTCGGTGATCTCCCGTCCCAATGCGCGTTGAGGCGGTGCTCTTCTCCCGTTCACAGCCCTGAGCCAGCAGTGGGAATTCC